TGTAAATGCCGTGGCCTTGATTTGCTTTCAATATCTCTTTACAGGCGAGTTCTGGGGTGAAGCAATGGAATAAGCGCTGGTTTGTACTGGTGGATCGCTGCCTTTTCTACTACAAAGGTATGTAGACGAACCAAGGTCTAGTGTGTAGGCACTCTGAGTAACTCACAAGTGCTGAAAACAGTGTGAAAGCAAAGCCATAAATTATGCCTTTATTTAGTCAAGAGCTTGCGTTCATCTCCATGCTTTGGCTGGTCTTTTCCTATTGGAGTCCAGTGACTTGTATCAGCAATGTGTTCATCTGATGAAGGTGGCATACAGCCTCTGGAGAAATGCTGGCATTTAAACTGGCATGAGTAGACACAAAAGCAGCTTTCAACAAGTCTCACAGTGATGTCATGGGTATTAACCAATGGGTGTCTGTGATACTGGCAAAGTCACCTTCCACATGAAAAAAGACTCATTCTTTCAGGGCCAAAAAGTGTAGTTTACCAGGAAGTAGGATCATTATTTGAGTGCATGTAAAACACTGCAATGACAGTGGCACAATCCCCCTGGCTGAGTCATAGCTTTGTGGAGGATTCCTTCTCCCTCCCCCCCACATCTATGCCCATTCTGCCTCTTCTCCAGTTGCCCAATTTGCTCAGAAAATTTCAGCGCAAAATGAATCTCAGCAAACAGAGAGAGAGAGAGACAATGTTGTGGGGTATCTGAGGGCTGACTGCCCCTTCTCAGTGTTTTATTTTACTGTTGGAAGAAAAGGACAAATGGGTGGGAGTCTCTGGTAGATGCTTAAAGCTAACACGTACAGCAACTCTGACTTGATTTGACAATGCACTGAGAAATCCCATCCCTGGTTGTATAGCCTTCCATATATCTGGCATCAGCATGGCATTTTGCAGCTTTAGGAGAAGATTACACATGAGGCAGAAAATGTTTGTTAGTAAACATGCCTCTCTTTCCTCCTCTCTGCATTATGGTAACTTCTAATGCAAGCTGTGTGATGATAAACTGTGGAAGGGAATGTACATTTCATTATGTCTTTGAAGGCCAGACTTGGTACAGCTATTGCCATATTTCTCTGGAGCAGATGGCCTGGATCATTGGTTCTTTCTTACACAGAGGATATGTGCTGACATTAACATTTACACACACACCCTTTTGTCAATCATGCTTTCCTCTGAAAAAGGGCTGGCACTGGTCCTTCAGGCCAGAGTTTAGTGAACTGGACTTGTAATGGTACAAAAAAGGCTAAAGAGGCTTGTGAGGTGCTTATAAGATGAGGGCCTCCATAAGATGAGGTGTGTGGTTTCAGTCCTTGGATGATTGAAAAATGCCCAATGAGAATGCAGAATTTCAGTGCATTTTCATTTTCAAATATTGGCATGTGTGTGTATGTATGTATGTATGTATGTATGTGTGCGTATTCAGGGATGGGGGACTTGTTGCCCTACTTGTTGGACTCCAACTCCCATCATCTCCAGCCAGCAAAACCCAATGGCCAGAGATGATGGGAATTGTAGTCCAACATATTCTGGAGGGCCACATGCTTCCCATCTGTCATAAACCTGCAACATACATGTGGGTTACATTTCAGTGATCATACCTAAACCAAAATCACATATAGTCAAAACACACTGGGTTCAATGGTGGGTGGGATTGTCAAAGTCATTTCCCCCAGAACCCTGTCCTCTTTCTCATTTTGTTTGGTCATGTCCACAAAGCTGAATGTGCACAAGTTAAATGTGCATAAGTTGTGGGCTTACTGTACATTCATATATACATACATATACAGGGTGTATGTATGTATGTATGTATGTGTATAGATTTTATATTTATATATAAAAATAAAATCTGCCTCACAACCTTTGGTTGTCAGAAACCTGTTGCCTGAACTCCTCTCTGGCAGTGAATCTAGAAGGGGGGGGATGAATTATTAACTAGACAGTATTGTGAGCTGTAAACGTAACTGATATGTGTGTGAGGGTGCTTGCCGGCCTGAGACAGAGACAGTAGCAGGCACGGATGTGACAGGGAGAGGAGCCATTTTCCCCAGGTACGTAGATGTGTAGGCCCACTTGGGGCAATTGTTGTTCTTAACACTCCAGCTCTTATTTTGCCAGTGAGGGGAACCCTTGGCTTCTTCTTTCCCACTGGTGGCGGTGAAGGAGCCCATTTGTGTGAGACCTTCCACAGCGACAGCATTTCTAGCTTGTTGGCAGAGAGAAGGGGATGCCTCTGTATGTGTCTAATTCTTTGATCTCCCACCTTCCTTCATGCAGACGAGAAGGAGGAAAGCATCTTGGGCAGCATCCCACTTCTCAGTTTTCGGGTTGCAGCTGTTCAGCCGTCGGATAACATCAGCAGGAAATACACCTTTAAGGTCAGTAAATGGCTGAGGTTCTCACAGAGGTGGCAGGATATTCTTGAATGTACAGCTAGAAGTGTGGTTGGAAGCTGGAAGCTGCTCTGCTCTAGCTGTGTGTTGGTGTCAGAAGTGGTCCTTAGGTTCCTCTTAGGCTGTGGTGCTCATGACCCTGTGAATTTGGTCCTTAAAGGTGGGCAGGTGACTGGCAACTGAATGAAGAGGTATGAGCGAGTTACACAGACCATATACTTGTCAAATATTACATGTAAATAACTGGATGAGTATACAGCTCATCTGTTGAATGCACAGATACACAGATTGTACACTTGTTGAATGCAACACATGAACACCTCTTTTGTAAGACTTTATTTCCTTATTTTCCAAGAGCATGATATCCTAGCGTTCCTTTCACCACTTGGTTATTTTAATTTTGACAACTTTCCTTTGTTGTGAAGTCTCTAATGGACTGGGACATGAACCTAGAAGTATCCCCTTCAAATCTCACTGCAGCTCAACAGGTTTGAATTTAGGCAAGCCATTCTTCTATTACCCTTAGCCTGACACCTGTGCAATATGAGAATGATAACACGGGCCTACTACCTTTCAGGGCCATTGTAACCACTGCTGACATGTGTGAAATGCATTGAATAGTTATTGCTGATGATGATGCTCACGATACTGATGATGGGGGACATGAGGCTGGGAGGTTATTGACCTTAAATGCAATGCAACCCTCCTGAGGTTGCTGGACTACAGCTCACATCAACCCTGACCATGAGCCATGATGGTTGGGGCTGATGGGTATCGGAGTCCAGTAACACCTGAAAGGCCACAGGTTTCCTGTCTGTCCCTAAGCATCGCAACAGGAAGTAATGAGCAGCACGTTCAGGGATACCATCACCCACTTCCCATTTTCCTTTGGAAGATGTTCTTTCATAGAAGTCTTCTGTGATACTGGAAGATTGATCTGCAGTGGTCTTTAGGCACAAGACTGAGCTGTTGTTGGAGTTTCTGGTTTTTTGTTTTTTAAAAAACGCAGTTCCGTGTGGTCCCCACCAAGCTGCCTAGGAGAGATATTCACGCCCTCTGACTAATAGCACTGAGGAGTTGTTGCAGAGGGAGGACTGGCCAAAAGGGAAGAGCACGGCAGCTAAAGTACATTATTTCCGGATGCTTGACTGTGGTCCCTCAAGCTTGCTTGCAGGGACTTTGAGGCTGTTTCTGAGCCTCGCCATCTGAGAGGGAAGCACGTCTTGTTGACAGACATATTTACTAGGAAGGCTGTGCGTACAAGCCGGAAAAATGCTGAAGAGCTGCAGGAGCCCTTGCTGTTCTCACTGATCAAACCCACAATGGTAGTTGGATAGTTGCTCAACTCAAAGGCTGCGGGTGGGAGTCTCACGTTGGGCATCTGGGAGGAGGAACCCTTTGCTTAATTTTGAAATGTTGAAAACTATTTTGCACCTCTTCCATACATTTTTCCCCCAAACAAGATTTTAATATTTATTTGCTTGTTTATTTCTAAAATGGTTGATTGTGCACAGGGCATTGTCGGAGGAGAGGTGCTTTGCCAGTGGACATCATTTTCTTCCTTTTAATACACAAGTACTCATGCTGTACACTCTTGGGAAACACCGACCTTGGAAAATGCTTTAGATTGTTAAATAACTTAGTTTTACCCACCCCCACAAAAAACATTGCACGGGACAAGGAATGGTGTTTGCAAATGTGCTTTATTCATATATTTATCCATTACATATGTATATTTCTCTTTCTCCCAATGAGTTTGGGGTGGCGTTCTTGATGAACCTCAGAGATTATGGCTTCCCCCCCCCCATATGAGGATGATGACTGGACCCAGACCTCCCTGACCCAAGTGCTGCAGTCTAACCTAGCCTTTCCCAACCTGGTGCTCTCCAGATGCTTTGAACTGCAACTCCCATCCCTCCTAGCTAGCACAGACATTATAGTCTGAAATATGTGGAGGGCATCAGGTTGTGGGTGGCTGCTCTAACTGATACGCCACAGGGGCTCAGCTTCATGCCTATTATCCAGTGAGTGGCTGAATTTTTCCAATATGCGGGAGTGGCACATCCTATTTTGCTCATATCACAGCCTAAAGCTACTTGGTCTGCCTCTGCTCCTCAGAGTTGCCACAGGTCTGAATTCCTGCATGATTCAACTAACAGGGGAGGTATAGCAGGTGCTGATTATTTGAAATGCATGTGCCTCTTCAGCCAGCCCCACTTTGGAAGGAAAGCCTGAGCATTTGCCCCTTAGTCACAGAAACCTTCCTTCTGTCCTGATGGTGGGTGATGCCTCCTCGCACCAGAGCAACAGCAGCAGCTCTCTGCCCTGCTGCACTAGATCGGGGGGGGGAGCAGGGGGGAGACAGAGATGATGTAAACATGCCATCTGTGCAAGGGACATTGCAGGAAAGAGGAGAAGTCGTTCCCAACCTCTGGCATCACATCCTAAGGGCTGTGGCACTGTTCCAGGAGTACCTGCACAGCTCCGCGTTGCTGGAAGGGTGTCACACATTGGTTATTGTGAGTTCGTTTTGAGGGATGAGCAAAGAAGAGCTGGGAAGAGCTGGGAAGAGCTGGGAAGAGCTGGGAAGAGCTGGGAAGAGCTGGGAAGCTTTGCCTCTCTTGCCTGGACCACCAAGTTGCTTTTTGCTGTAACAGCCCAAGGCTGAGTCAATATATTTATATGCCAACTTTTTTTCATGCGCAGACTCACACATCCAGTTTCCCTCCTGAATGAGGGATACAGATCCTAAGTCTCTAAACAATGTGATCTAATACACAACATCATGTTTCCTGTTTTTTTTAAAAAGCATAAATAAATCAGGGACATTGAAAATTAATGAGGGGGAGTTTAGAAACACTAGCTTCAAATTGGGGTGCTTGAGAGGTCTTCCTACCTATGCAAAACAAATCTTAGTAGACCCAATAAGATTCAAGATGTGAACACAAGCCAACCAATCCATACGTTACATTCCTAAATCATTTTGTTTATAGGCATCCCTTTAGAGGGCTCTTCCATTATACTGCATGCAAGCTACTTACTGCTTGTTGAAATAGCACCATAAAGCTCTAGTTCAGATGTCCCAGGGGTGTGCTATGGTATCTATGCCCTCTTAATGAGAATAAATGGGACTGAAATGGGACAGGGATGTTTTAAGAACCAGAAACTATTGATATGTGGGGTTGTTTTTTACTAACATTCCTGCCTGCCCCATAGAGGGGGGAGAGAAAAGAAGAATGTTTAGCTAGAGATGCTGTGGCTCCATTAGAAACAGATGAGCTTTGAAGTATGCTTGTCTGGGCATCTTGCCTGCCTCTGGCTCAGATGTGCGCACAGGGACCCTCTTTTCTCTCTATAGTGTCACCTTGAGAAGAAGCCTGAGCTTGCCCTCTGGAAAGCTTTATTGGCACCAGTGGTGTTGGATGGGCTGTCAGATCCCAGATTACTAACAAAGCAAGGATCCGTTTTAGGGCACAACCATCTTCATTTGGGTCCTACTGCACCGAGGTTTGATAAAAAGGTGTTGTCCGACCACTCCAGTGAAGTAGGGATTTGGGTCACACTTACATGCTCCCCTCAGCCTGGAGATACTTCTAAGAACTCAATGTGCACCCATGCTGCAGAGCACTGGTGATACCATGATCTGTTGAGCACTTTAGGGTAGGGAACCTTATAGTTGGTTCATAGGCACCCTTATGGCATATTATGGGGCTGATTACCAAGTAAGTATGGCTTTCAGTCTTAGATGCTGATTCTTGTAGCATCCCCCAGATCCAGACATGTGTTGGTTAGTAAGGTAGCAGAGAATAGTCTCTGATTGCTTCTGTGTTTTGTTCCTTTGTTTATTATTAAGGGGGATTAGATAACCAACCCATAATAAAGTTTCTCGTAGGATGGATAGACTTAGATTGTTCTGAATAGATAGACCTAAATAGTATTGTTCATTTCCTTCATCCCACATTCATGCTGCAATATTGTTTATGGCATGCCCTGCTGCTGCAACCCTTGCATATCTGCATTTCCCCTTGCCTAGCAGGATACTGGCTCAGGCCTGTTCCATGGGCTGAGATGGAGAGGAATCGGCTCCCCCAATTTTCTCTTAGATTATTTTAAGTTCAGACAGGGCCAATGTGATCCTTCAGCCTTAGACTCATAAGGCATCTGGCATGTGCCCGGTTACATAGGACGCTGTAGTATACTGAGTCAGACCATTTGCCCATCTATCTCGGTATTGTCTACATTGACCGGCAGCATCTCTCCCAGAGTTTCTGGCAGGGAACATTCCCAGCCCTACCACAGATGCTGGGGATTGAACCCGGGACCTTCTGCATGCAAAGCAGATGCTCTGCTGCTAAGCTATGGCCCTTCCAGTTCTGCTTCAGCTTCCCTTCCACGGCAGTCAACTCTGCTCCTTCTGCGCTTCGCCTGCTTGAGACTTCTCCCCATTGGATTGCTTGTTGGGTGTGGCTGACCTGTTCTCTGTCTTCCCTCTTTTTCCGCGTGAGGATGCCCTCGGACAGGAGATCTCTTCTGATAACCCGTCTGCAGTGCCATCACCCAGGCACCAAATAGGTAGTATTTTCCTTCCTTTTCCAAACACATGCATGCCAGAAAGGAAAGATGAAGCTTGGATGAGTGCAAAATTGTCCCGCATGCTTTATTCACCTCCAATCATTTCCCAGATAAAACTGCAGTGAGGAAATCCTAGATTTCTTCATTAGGCTCATCAAACACCTAGAAATTCCTAAACAATGGAGACTGGTGAAAGCACGGAGGTATGTAACCTAATGACATTGCAACAATATCTGAATACGTCTGCCTTGTGTTATATGTCTTCATCATAGCCAAGCTTTCAGACCTAATCCTTGGCTCTTGGTGTAGAGTATATGTACTGAAGATATTGATCTGGCTCAGCAAAATGTCAGTCAAGAAGGCAGATTTGCAAGAACCCTCAGATCTCACTAGGTTGTTGAGTGGCCACTGATCATTACCCAAAGTTGATGGGCGAAACTAAATAAATGAATAAATTGTGCTATACGTTTCTTCTGAAATACATTCAACTGAAATAAAATAATAATAAAAATCACTAAGAGGGGAGTTTTCTTACATAATGAAAACCAAACAAATGTGAAAGACACAAAACCAGAAAACCGCAAGCAAAACTATTTGATACTATAATACAAAATAAGGTGTTCATGATAAAAGGAAAAGGAAAAGATCTGGAAAGATTTCAGTGTCAATTGAATGGATATGTTGCAAATGATAGAAGCGTCAACAATAAGCTGGTCCAATTTGGGTTAAGAGTTTGGATTGGAAATATTTTTTATCTGGGCCTGGAGCCATATTAAGGTCCAGCCTAGGATGGTGTTTTTTGAAGATGTTGGGTGCCAATATTTCGATGCTGTACAGGACATGTCTTTGTTTTTTGCAAGTCTTCAGCTCCTATATACACCTCAGAGACTAAGAATCAAAACAGCATGATATATAAAAACCATTTCCTAGGCTTTGCTGCACTCTAGCAAGACGGGAAAATGGCCTCTGCTAATAAAGAGGGATCAACCCTAAGCGGCTCTCAGTGATTTCTGTGGAGCAAAGATCGACTGGATATAACATTGAACTGGAGAAGATATTTGGTGACATAACAGAGAAGTGGGGGATCTTGTCCTTCACATCAGACACTCGGGTAATCCATGGTGTGGGGGTCAGATCTATTACTCACCCCAGTGGTCTCTTTGACTTCACTCTTGGAAGCCCTGAAATTAGAGGCATTATTGTGGTGAAAGCACAATGCCATGGGGATCACGCAAAGGAGTGCAGCATGTTTCCATGCACAAGTGGCACATATATCCTTGGAATGGTGCCCTGATAATTCCTGCCTCTTGAAGGGCTGCTTCCTATAGTCAAATAAGTATGGCCAGTCTACAGTCGAACTATTGGCCTATCTAGTCCAGCATCCTGCTTTCACAGTGGCCAACCCAATGCCTGTTGGAAATCTGCAAGGAGGACATGAGCGCTGCCCTCCTGGGGTTACCAGCAACTGGTATTTAGAAGCGTTACTGCCTCCAGAGCCACCTCCTCCATGTCTAATCCTCTTTTCAAGCCGTCCAGGTTGGTGGCTGTCACTGCCTCCTGTGAGATAAGCATTTGGAAAGGAATACAAAAGCATTTTCTTTTCCTATGTTTCATCAGGAAGGCAGATTTAAATACCAAGGTGGTTGGATCAGTAGATCCATAGGAAATCTCAGTCTTGTTTTGACTCAACATAGGGAGCTATAGTTGACCCTGACTCCCCATATTGTTCAGTCAGTCTCCAGCCCCAGTGACTTTTTATAGGGGAGGGGATACAGTGTCCCCCCCCATTTTTGCAATAGGTGAGGCAGCCAAATCATTAAAATGTAAAGGGATACACACCTCCCCTTGTTTCTGGCCACAGTTAAAACTATTGCCATTAGTTTAACAAGTACTCCAGATAATATTAGGCAACATAGCTTTTATTCAATGATGATGCATTTATTTTAATTTATTTGTAAAACTTCTATCCCACATGTCACCATCAAGTAATCTCAGGGTGGGCTTACAACAATAATACATTAAAACCACCAGAAAACATTAAAGCAGCTATATTACATCAATTCAAAGTTTCAACAGCATTCCTCACCACCACTTAGAAAAAGGCAGTTCTAGTTTACTACCTCTCCAGAAACCTGATGGAAAAAAGAACATTTTCAATTCCTTTGCATGCATGCACAGGTGTACACTGATCTGGGGTGATGGGTTCTATGTTGAAGTAGATTTTTGCATGCTATTCCTCTGCTGCATGTGGACCCATGCATGTAAACAAGTGTGTTGGTGTTGGGAACGGGGTTGGTAGGCAGGTGGGAGGGAGGGTCCTTTTCCAGCAGTGGGGGGGGGGGGCTTTGCATGTTGCTGGGTGGGTTTAGTGAAAGTGTCTCTGGATAGGAATTTTGACCTTTGGTGTCACTGCTTTGATTAAGCTGCTCAGAAACTGGGATTTATCAATATATTAAAAGGCAAATTTCCAGCATCCTATTCTCACAGTGACCAATCAGATGTCTGGGGGAAACCCCTCCCCAGCAGGATTCAAACACAAAAGCACTCTCCCTCCTGTGGTTTCCAGCAACTGGTATTCAGAAGCATTGCAGCCTCCAAGGAATAACCATTGATAGCCCTCTCCTCCATGAATTTGCCTAATCCTCTTTTAAAGGCACCCACCACCACCAAGGACAAATGCATATAAAGGTAGACTATAGCCATTATGGCCTAAAAACATGCTTTTTCACTTCAATTTCCCCACCTGAAAACTAGAAAATAAAAGTTGGTTGAAACTATAGTAGCCAGTCCAGTATATGCTGGAAATTATGCCAAATGAAAGAAGGCACAATTTCTCCTATAATCCTTGGTGACCTCAAGCTAATGCTGCAGAGAGTAATTGGTGACTTCTCTTCTCTTCTCCCCCCTCCCCTTTCTCCATTTCTACCTGCTCCACAGGTGACTGTGTGCTGGATGGAAGAGACACCAGGGAATAACAAGAAGTCCCTCTCTCCCCAGGCTGAGCACGCAGGCATCCGGACTTACTTCTTCAGTGCAGAGAACAACGAGGAGCAGGAATCCTGGATTCAAGCCATGGGCGAAGCTGCCCGGGTGCAAATCCCACCTGCTCAGAGGTCAGTTGTTGTTGGGGGGAAATCTATGTAGCATGTGGTCCAAAACTATAGGGGTAACCAAATGGCGCTCTCTAGATGTTGTTGGACTATAATAGTCAACGTCCTGGACCATTGGTCATGATGGCTGAGGCTGATGGGAGTTGCAGTCCAATAGCATCTGTTCTGATAGATCTCAGTTGGAATTACCTATGTCTTTGGAAAACCAGTAAAGTAAGAGCACCCAATTTTTTTTATTCCCCCCCCTTAAAGCATCAAAGTAGTCATCATGGCAAAAATCAGAACTATGCTAGATTTCCTTACAGTCCACTGTATAATCTCCCATTTTTATCTTTTTCTTAACCCCAACTAAACCAAGAGGGTGCCCTACTAACCTTTGATCAAAATAATGCAAGGAAAGCAGATCCTGTCATCTGTTGCAATAAATTATGCTTTAATTTTTTATTACTTCGAAATTTTATTTTATGGGTTAGTATTGTTTTCATTTTGAATTGGGGAGGCACCATAATCTTTTAGTGCTTGGGACAACTGAAGGTCTTAGTCCAGCCCGGGGTGCTCTATTGCGTTCAAGTCACATAGTTTCTCTGCCTCTCCATTAAGATGTTTCCTCTGGTCCTTTAAATTTGTGAGACCAAGTCATCGTTATAAATAAGGTTCACAGATCCTGCAGAAAAGTATGGAAACTCTCTAAAATAGGTAACATTTAAAAGGCATTGAGGCTCTTTGAATGGGATGACAGGAAACATAGCTTTGCGGGTCTTTAAGCAACTTGAAAAAGAAAGCTTATTGGGAGAGTACAATATCTGGTCCCTCCCCCCCCAGGGGCCATATCAGAGCTGCAAAGTTAGCAGCAATGTGCTTTCAGGAGGCGAACTAGAATCATTCATAGGCTAGTGCACATTTTCTATGTTGCTCGGAATGAGAGCCATGACCGTTTGTGGCCATTTCTATTTTCCCATGCTTATCAGGCACGAGAAGACTGATTCTGAGAACATCCCTCCCAGCAGGAACCACCAGCACCACCACCACCGCAGTGTCCCTACCAGAGAGGCTGCCAAAGCTGAGCCAGAAGCCAAGACCAGAGGCGAAGGAGACGGGCGTGGCTCTGAGAAGATTGACAGGAAAACAGAGCGAGCCGAGAGCAAGAAGGAGCCTCTGGTGAAAGCCAACGGCATTGGCAGCCAAGAAATGCCCTCTGAACCCGGAAGCCCTTATCCTGACGCTTCCCGCCTGCCTGCTGGAGTGGAGAGGCCCACTCAGCCAAATGGCTGGCAGTACTCATCTCCTAGCCGGCCAGGCAGCATGGCCTTCCCACAGCACGATGGCGAGAGTGCTATGCCTCGTCGGAGTTTTGCTCCGCGCACCAATCCTGAGAAGATTGCCCAGAGGAAGAGCTCCATGACACAGCTTCAGCAGTGGGTGAACTTGCGCCGTGGGGCTCCACCTCCTGAGGATCTCCATAGGTGAGGTGATTCAAGCTAGGCGTGGATATAGCTTTTCTGGGAATTAAATAAGGGAGGAATCCCACTAAACACAAGGCATCACATCTGCATTATGCACTTATAGGAGTCTTAAGAGTTGTGGCTTCCCAACCTCCCCCAAGGGTCCTGGAACTGTAGCTTGTTAAGGACTACATTTCCCAGGATACTTTAGGGGAACCCATGACTCTGAGAGCTCATCCACACTTATACCTTTTGCCCCTTGTTTTCTAGGTGCAGGTCTGTGCTTTAAAGCTCCATGTCCAAACACTTTCTCCCCCTCTTTTTTTTTTTTTTTGCCACATCGCTTTCCCTATGAAATCCCATTCTTTAACACTGAATCAAAACAAATGGCAATTTCAGTTTTCCGCAGACTGCCATTTGCTCTGATTCGGCAGTAAAGTGCGGGCTTTTGTGGGGAAAGAGGTGGTTTTAAATGTTTGGTGTGGATGTAATCTGAGAGAAGGTGAGAAAGTGATATGTACACTTCAAGTTTAAATCAATATAGTTATTGTGATTCTCCCCTCTTCTCCCAACCAGATAGTCCTAGGAGGACTGTAAGTGCTGAGGACATTTCGTTTTTAACTGTCCCAAACCATGTGGCAATTCCACATGAGAGTTGTAATATTTGTGAAACGGATTGGCCCAGTTGTGTGGAGGAGGCTGTTCATCACAGCGCTACGAATCTGCTGTGCTAGCATGGGTGGCTCACATGATACAAAGGTACAGAGCCCTCTTGTATGAAACTGCTTCCATTGGGAAGTGTTTCTTATGACCTCCACATGGAGGCTGCAACATTTGAATCTTCCCTGACAAAGAACCAGAGTTTTAACCCAGCAGGCATCATGGCTTTCATCAGAATTGAACCCTTTAATCCTCAGTATGCTTTTGATTTCTTTTTTGAAAAGAAAAAGATACACACTTAATACTCTGTTACTCAAGCAGGCAGCTCATTTGCAAAGAAAATATGTGCAGCCTTAATCATTAATAAGGATAATAATTCATGACACACCAGCAAACAGCTTTAATAGTGAGATGATATTGTGCCATCTCTGCTGTTTAATCTGCAGTATAGTTGGAGGGTAAGAGGGAACCACTAGGCAGTAAGAATGTAAAATAAGATCTGCACTAGATTTATATCCTCTGCTCTAATAACTGCTATAATAAGAAATCAGTCGAATTAAAAATTAAAAAAGGAGTGGAAATGTTTTGATGAATATATGGCAAAATATTGCTCAAAAAAGATACGCTAATATGCCTAGATTAAAATGTGAAGTACTGGATGGAAGAAAAATTAGTAAGGAAAGCTAATAGTAATATATAGATGATTTGAGAAGATTGTAGAGTGCAAAGATTATTGTAAATTGTATAATGTGGATGAAATCGAGTGGGGGCGGAGAGAAGTGGGAGGAAGGAGAAAAGAATAATATGATGGATTGAGGAAATAGAAATGTAAAGGTATGGGGGGATGGGGAGGAAATGGTGTTGGCTTTGGCACATCTGTATTGTAATGCAATATGTGAAAACCAATAGAAAAAAGAGGAAAAAAAGAAAAATAAGATCTGCACTAGATTTATATCCTCTGTGGATTTTGGTACAGAGATAGACAGATGGGTAAGGTAGGGCAGATGATGCTAAAATTGCTTTGCAAACTCAGGGTTTGCATTCGTCATCCTCATTCTTTCCTTCTGGCCGTCTAGCCCCACCAGGTTCTACCCGATGTCCCGAAGAGTCCCTGACTACTATCCCCCCTACTCACCTCAGTACTCTGAAGATTACCAATACTACCCTCCTGGGGTGCGTCCCGACAGCATCTGCTCTATGCCTACCTTTGAGCGCGTGAGCCCTCAGTGGACTGTCGACGACAAGCGCCACTCCTTCCGCAACAGCGGCTCCTACCAGCTGCGGGACTGGAAAGAGCAGCCAGGCTACGGCAGGCAGGACGTTCCCATCTGGATGTCAGGCCCGACCCGGCCACCCATGTACTATGACGAAATGGATGCCGCCTCAGGCTCCTTGCGCAGGATGTCCCTCCAGCCTCGCTCCCGGTCGGTCCCCCGCTCACCGAGCCAAGGCTCCTACACCCGAGCCAGAGTGTACTCCCCTGTCAGGTCGCCGAGTGCCCGCTTTGAAAGAGTGCCTCCCCGGAGTGAGGAGATTTATGCGGAGCCGACGACATACATGATGAGGCGATCGGTCAGTTCACCAAAGGTAACCCTCCCTCGCGGTCTCTGCTCCTACCCTCGGGGCTTCCTGCCACTCTTTGGGGGGGGTACTGAAGCTGTGCACTGAGGGAACATTAGCACAGTCTTAGTGACCTAATCGTTACCTGTGTTTGTATATGCTGTGTACTGAGACTGAAAAGTATTAGGAAGGGTGAGGGGAAATTACCATGGCAGGAGTGGGAAGGCACAATAGCTTTGATGAAGGTGAGGAGAGGCAGTCACGGGCAACATAGGTTTTTTCTGTTGAGGGCTGCATTTCCTCAATTGATTACGTGTTGTGGCTCACGTACCAGTGTTGGGCAGAGCCAGAACTGATGATGGCTGGAGCCAGAGACAAAACTTTTCTGGATTAACTCATCTGGAATGGAGACCACCCTGCTTCCTCATGGTTTAGAATTCCCAGTTCAATGCATATCTAGTTAGAAGCAAGCCCCACTGAGTGTGATGGGGTTAGGTAAAGGTAAAGGTAAAGGGACCCCTGACCATTTGGTCCAGTCATGGCCAACTCTGGGGTTGCGGCACTCATCTCGCTTTATTGGCCGAGGGAGCCAGCGTACAGCTTCCGGGTCATGTGGCCAGCATGACTAAGCCATCTCTGGCGAACCAGAGCAGCACATGGAAATGCCGTTTACCTTCCCGCTGGAGTGGTACCTATTTATCTACTTGCACTTTGACGTGCTTTTGAACTGCTAGGTTGGCAGTGATGGGGTTACTTTCAAATAAATAAACAGAGAACTTTTTTTAGTACCAGAGACCAATGCAGCCACTGCTCCGGAAAGGAAGTAAGAGTAATTCTTACCGATATATTATTTGGCAGGAGAAAAGTCTTTCCCCCAAGCCATACAACCAGAGGAGAAGTTTTTAAAACATACACATATAAAAGAAAGTACTACATGTTCCAGTTCTGTGTTCTGAAACAACACACACAGAGAAACACAAATGCCTGAAAAAGGGGGGAAATGGATAAAAAGCATGGATGGAAGAATGGGGCAGCTTCAGGAGTCAACAGAGGGGCACATAATATGAAGTCACAGGTTGCATGTTTTCCTAAGGCCACAGGTTGCTCACCTGTGAGCTAGAATAAAACCTTTATTCTTAATCTCTGACATGTCAGGGCTTCTTCTGGCCACTCAGCAGTCCGTAAATGCTCAGTCTGTTTTTATTTCACTTGTCCCAGAAATAAAAAATAAGGGTCTGGGCCAGACTCAGTTGAAACATGAGGTATAGGGGATTCAGAACTCCTAATTGAATTGAGGTACTGGAGTCGCATGTTCAGGCTAAACAGAACTGGCACGTTAGCTGTGCTGGGAGCACACAGTCAGCACGACATGTTGAAAAGGTTGCTGGTGAAACTTTAGAACATTCTTCATCGTGCAGACCAATATTAGTGAATATCAGGCAGAACTGAGGGTGAGAGCAGCCCAGGAACTGAGTGGCATTGGAGGTTCCAAGGGTAGGAGCCTGGGGAAAAACCTGCCCCTTCTTTTCCTCTTCTCCTAACAGAACTGTACTCCCAGCTTGTAGAACCAATTCCTCTTTTCCAAGAGCATCTTAGTTGTTCTCATGTCTAGGCCACAACTCCTTGGCCCTCCTACCATTGACCTGTCCCTCACCCTGACCGAATAACCCTGGGCATTTCCTTTGCCTTGCCTGTTGTCTACATTGTGGGCTGTGCCAACTGTTCCGTATTGTGGGGAAAGGTAGCGTGGACTACGGTCACCCTACAGTGATATGAGCCTTCTTCATGCATGTGTGTGGTTTCTTCTCTTTCCTCAGTATGATTATCTGGGTGACAGGAGGCCTGTCCCTGCAGGAATGTTCCCCTTCAACTATCCAGCATCCCCTACGGTCCACGACAAAATGGTATGTCCCATTGGCATCCCAGCATTCCACTAGGGATGCTGGGTTTCCTTCCCAAGGTTGGGATCTAATTCAGAGGTGGGGTGAAGGATGTTATTATGCAATGGGCAATTTCTTCCTGGACATGAAACCACTGTCCTGTAACAGCCATATTCTCTAGTGTTTCAGCCTACAGGGATATGTTAGCTGTGTGAGACCAGTCTGGATATGTAATGCACTGTGACTATGCAAACTGACAGATAATTCTGTTGAAGACAGGGCTGCCCTTTTTTGGCAGAGCAAGGAGGGAAATAGGCATGTGATTTATAGAGACAGTGAAACAGCTCCTGTTCACACATTCAGCCCCCAGTTTTTACATTCGGTGCTTCATTAGCATCCTGCAAGAGGAGTAGCATGTAATGTAAAATGGGTCCACCCACAGTTGCCCAGAAGAATCATCCATGTAATTCTCCTTTTTCCACAATTAATAAATAAAAAGGTGCAATCAGGAGTTAAAGCAGAGGCTTCATTTCATATCACAAGCTACATCTGCATGGCAGAAGGGAAGCCTCCATCCTGGCTTGCCCACCAGGCCACTGTGGAATATAAACTGAGGCACACTGCTCATTGCTGCTGCAAGCTTAACTCAAACATTTCTCTTTAGTGATCGTGAGCTGCTGTTCAGAGTTTGGACCTGGGATGTGATTTGAACTCTGTACCATTTTGCTCCCCTAAATCAGGGGTGGGGAACCTGTGGCCTTCCCAATGTTGTGAGACTCCCATGAACCTCGACCATTGTAGCCAGTGGCCCAGGGTTGATGGGAGCTTGAGTCCAAACAACTTCTGGAGGACCACAGGTTCCCAATCCTTGTCCTTAAATGAGCAGCACCTTGCCCATAGCTACAGTGGCAACCATAATGCAGAAAAGGGCTTCTTGGAAAAGCACATTTTTCCTCTGGGATTCCTCCCCTATTCCAAGGATGTATTGCTTTGGCAGCCCATAAAGAGGAAATGAAGAGAGCAAAAGCTGGGGCAGCAGCAGCTTCCACTGCCAGAGCTTGCATTCCTCCAGTGTAGTTCTGGGACAGTGCAAAATTGGGCGAGCTTGAAAAGGACATGCAGAAAGCCCTGTCCCCTGTTGCTGGCTGTCGTTTCTTTCAATGCTGTATTTTCCTCACTCCTTCTTGCTTCTCTCTTTTGTTTGGTTATTTCACTGCGGGGGCGGATCCATGTGGTGGGGGCAGAAACCACTGTGAGTGGGACTCTGCCAAGTGAAACTGCCAACTTCCATTTGCTCCATGCCAAGGTTCTTGACCCTGCCTGACACCTTTCACCTATGAGAGCAACCAGTAATTCCTGGACTGGATTAAGGTGCCCTGCGGAACAGATTCTAGTTGCACGGACTGTTGCACGCAGCTTCTCCCCTCACTCCCCCTGCCTTCTCACCAGCTATGCACACAAAGCGGATGCATGTGGCTGAACCAGGAGTGCACTGAGATGATCCTGGTATCACCGAGCACATCATGGACAGTCTCTCTCATAGCAGGTGCTGTGTCCCCATCTCCAGCTGTTTTGGGGGGTGGGGCGAATATCTGGTGGCAGGAATAGATGTGGAATGCGGGCCAGGATAGCTCCTTTGAACGAGCAGTGCTAGCAGTCTGGACTCTTTGGCGATCGCTCGTTGCTGAGCAAGATTGTCTACCATGAACACGGTCTTAGTGGTGTGTCTGTAGGTGACTGTGAAGGCCAATTCTGGACCCACACGTCCTCCCACAGTGGGGACATAGGTTTCTGGGCGGGAGTTGATCACGTTGAGGATTTGCCAAATGTGCCTTCCTCTTAGCTCATTTCTTCCCTTTGTCCTGAGTTCGTGCTTCTTCAAAGTCTATGATGCCTTTGGTAAAGGCTGTTCTCCAATTGGAGCACTCCAGCAATCTGGACACATACTGTTAATTACAGACACAGAGCTCAGGCAGCCCAGGCCTGATAGTAAAGCTTCTGTGTGTTTAGAAAGAGACAAATCGTTTCCAAAACAGATCAAAATAATTTCTGTCTATATCTGAGAAGTAGTTTACCTGGGTCAAAAGCACACTGTTGGTGTCATGCAGAGAATAATGCACAGGAGCACCATTTTTGTAAGAGTCCCTTTGTATGGTGCTCCTAACTTTCTTGCCAGGTGAAGAAGCTGTAGCTATGCTTGCTGTCTCGGGTGATAGCTCAGTCATAGAGCATCTGCTTTGCGTGCAGAAGATCCTAGGTTCAATCCCTGACATCTCCAGGTTGTTCTGTGAGGGACCATATCTGAAATCCCGGAGAGCCATTTCCAGTTAGCATAGATGGACTAATGGTCTGCCTTGGTATATGGCAGCTTCCTGTATGCCTGTATCTAGAATAGGTTGACCACCCCCAGCTTTTCCAGTGGAAATCCACATAGAGGCTGGGTAGAGATTGAGTAAAAGCCAATTTGCCTGACCCAAAGTGATGCCCCAGGAATGTAGACTGAGTAAATCTGTGCAGAGTTTGACGTGTGCAGAATCCGCTGTTTGTTTCAGCACACTGCCAGCTTTAAGCTTAGCCAGTTTTTGCTGTACAGTTGCGAAGCTGTTGAAAGGGATGCTGAGCTTTTGGAAGAGGCCATATGCATGGAGCCAATAGCACAATCCCTTCTTCCCCTGCAGAACTCTGAATGGATGTGCTGAGCCCACGTTCTCAACATGCCAGCCTTGACATAAAGACCGTAGAGCAGTCACTGTGAACGAGAGAATTTCCACCTAATCCTAGGCTTTCAAAGCCAGGTGCCTTGCTGAGAAAAATGTGGGAGTGCTAACTGTGGGGACAAACTTCTTGGTAGCAAACTTTGCCTCTGCAGCAGGAGTGAATTAACAATTCTTATAGGCCTATGCCACCAATAAAACAGATTATAATAATGGCTTAATGGGTATTACGGGTGCTACATTGCAATGAAAAGTGAGCCCTGTTTGGAGCAAAGGTGTGTGGGCTTCAAGTCAGAGGGGGCTTGTGCACCAGCTCCATTTCAGACCTTCCCATGTTGGCAGGAGGACTATAGCTCAGTGACAGAGCATCTGCTTTGCATGTAGAAGGTCTCAGGTTCAGTCCCCAGTATTTTCAGGTAGGACTGTCTGAAACCCTGCAGAGCTGTGCAGATAGAACAGAGGGCTTATCCACACTTACCTTTTGCCAGGCACAGGTGCTCACTTTAGCACTCCAGGGCCCAGCATTTTGTTATTATTTTTATCTCAAACTTTCCCCATGAAACCCTGCTCCTTAAAACTGAATCAGAGCAAACACCAATTCAGGTTTTCTCTGACTAAGCTTTTTAAAGAGCAGGTTTTTGCAGGGAAAGTTCTGGAGCAGGAACGAAAAGGCACTGGGACACAGAGCTTTAAATCGTGGACCGTGCCTGGAAAGAGCGGAGGAAAGGTGTGTATAAGCCCTGTGCTAGATGGACCTGCAGCCTGACTCAGCAGAAGGCAGCTTCCTCATCTGGAAGGTCTGAGGAGGAACTCTGAGTGCTTTCAGTTGAACATGCTGAGGATCCTCCTTCTCACTGCATGTGGGGAGGTCTGCAGTGAAGCCGGCGCATGTGGGACTGTTGGAGTGAGGCTTGTGTGTGTGCATGCCCCACCCCACCTTTAGCCCACAAGTGTTCAACCCAGAGACCCTCAAAGGGCCACATTCCTTACTGTTGGAGGAGAGCATTAATATATTTTACCAGCTTGGTGGCCTACTCCAGTGGCCTGGAGGAAGGTAGCATGGCCCTTTTGTTAATCCACACTTGTCCAGCAGAAGGCGACACATGGTATGGGGACAGAGCACCGACTATATGAGAAACTGCCAGGATCTCCCATTGAGAGTCCCTCTAAGGCAGCCTTCCCCAACTGGCTGCCCTTGCAGATGTTGTGGATTACAACTCCCCATTGTTGCAGTCTGAAACATCTGGAGGGCACCTGACTGGGGAAAGCTCCTCTAGAGAATATGTCCTGGGCTAAAAGGACCGCTGAGCAGCCATCACTCACCCCACCCACCTACCTGGAAAAAAATGCTTGTGAGGCTGACTGTTCCCTTTCCTGTCTGGGGAGCTCTGTGCCTCTCTCGAGCTAAGTCGCACCTAACTGCTTTTGCTTCTTCTTTGTTTTTGTTTGTTTTTGTGTTTCCATTTTGCCGCATGCCTAATGGCTCCTGATAGGATGAACTTTTAGACCTTCAGTTGCAAAGAAACCTAGAGTATTTGGATCAGCAGGTAGGCCAAGCTGGCTGTCTCCCTCTCACTGCTCCCACCACATTTTTGCCTCTTGTCCTGCAACCCCCGCTGCCCCCTCCCCAGCCGTGCTGTCAGGTCAGTGTTGCCTTTCCCTCTCCCCTTTACCCTTCCTCCTCCCCAACATCTGTCCCTCTCCTTCTCTTGGCATTGCGGCAGCTCTAGCGGGTCGATGTGGTTTGTTCCTTTCATCTTGTGGACAGTGACACACTTGTTCGTGTGTGTGTGTGTGTGTGTGTAGGGATGAATTGGGGAGGGACAGCTGCTTTGCTTGCTTGGACATCTATGGATTCTGCTGCGCTGCAATTGCAGCCGCTATTACTGCCGTATTTGGTGACTGTTGTTGGATTTCTGTGCAATGTTCCACACTAGTCTGCAGGATGTAAGCAGGATCTAGGGCAGGAATCAACTCTGTTGATAAGAGTGCATTCATGACCCTAGAACTCTGGGTGGCAACCTGTGTGTGGGTTTGGTTTTCTTTTTTTTTTTTTTTATTTTTTTTAATAAATTTTTTATTGCGTTCCTTTCCATAACTTCAAACAATCCAAACACCACAAAACATTAAATGCAAGAAACAATTTTTCTTTTCTTTTACATTCAAAACCAAATTAAAGATCAAACCAAAAAAGGTATATAAACCATTCCATATTTGGACTTCCCCACACCCTCCGGAACTGCATTCTTTATAGTTTAATAATGTCAGCAATTTGTTACCTTGTTTCATACCTTGTTGTAACTTTCAATTTGTTATGCATCCAAATTCAATATATTGTATCTTAATTTCAATACTTTTAAAATAAACATAACATGTTCAGTTTAAATTGTCTCCTTTTCTTTTTTATCACTTATTTTAACATTTACTTAATCCTGTTTGCCAAAGCATAGTATTTCTAAATCATGCACTGACTTAAGATTCATACAGCTTATGATGTTTTTGCAAATAGTCTTTAAATTTTCTCCAGTCTCCCTCGATTATTTCTTCATCCAAATCTCGGATTCTGCCAGTCAGCTCAGCTAATTCCATGTAGTCCATCAACTGCGTCTGCCAATCCTCCAGCGTGGGTAAATCTTGTGTCTTCCAGTTCTTTGCGATGAGTATTCTTGCTGCTGTAGTTGCATACATAAACAAAGTTCTATCCTTCTTTAACATTTTCTGGTCCACCATACCCAGCAGGAAGGCCTCAGGTTTCTTAGAAAAGGTATACCTAAATACCTTTTTTAATTCATTATGTATCATTTCCCAAAAGGCCTTCACTTTTGGGCAGGTCCACCAGAGATGGAAAAATGTCCCTTCTGCCTCCTTACATTTCCAACATTTGTTGTCAGACAGGTGATATATTTTAGCTAGCTTGACTGGGGTCATGTACCACCGGTATACCATTTTCATAATGTTTTCCTTCAAGGCAGTACATGCCGTGAACTTCATTCCGGTGTTCCATAACCTTTCCCAGTCTTCAAACATTATGTTGTGTCCAACATCCTGTGCCCATTTTATCATGGCAGATTTAACTACCTCATCCTGTGTATTCCATTTAAGCAGCAAGTTATACATTCTCGATAAAATCTTAGTCTTTGGTTCTAACAATTCTGTCTCTAGTTTCGATTTTTCCACCTGGAAACCCACCTTTTTATCCATTTTAAAAACCTCTTGAATTTGAGCATAATGTAACCAGTCTCGCACCTTATTTTTTAATTTGTCCTGGCTCTGCAGCTTCCAATTGTCTCCAATATTTTCTATTAATTCCCAATATTTCGGCCAGTAGGCCTCCATATTGAGTCTTTTTCGGGCCTTGGCCTCCACCGGTGATAGCCACCTCGGCGTTTTGCACTCTAATAAGTCTTTATACTTCATCCAGACTGCAAAAATTGCCTTTCTGACAATGTGGTTTTTGAACAATTTATGAGCCTTAGCCTTGTCATACCATAGATATGCATGCCAACCAAAAGCATTATCGAAACCCTCCAGATCTAGGACATCAGTATTTTCCAGCAAAAACCAGTCTTTCAACCAGCAGAAGGCTGCAGCTTCATAGTACAACCTTAAGTCCGGCAGGGCAAATCCCCCTCTTTCTTTTGAGTCAGTTAGTATTTTGAACTTTATTCGGGGCTTTTTGCCCTGCCAGACAAACCTAGATATGTCCTTCTGCCACTTTCCAAAACATTCCACTCTGTCCACGATCTGCAAGGTTTGAAACAAAAACAACATTTTCGGCAATACATTCATTTTTATAGCCGCAATTCTTCCCAACAAGGACAGTTTCAATCTTGACCAAATTTCTAAATCTTTTTTAACTTCCAGCCAACATTTCTCATAGTTATCTTTAAATAAATTCAAGTTTTTGGAAGACAAATTAATCCCTAGATATTTCACTTTTTTGACCACATTTAATTCTGTTTCTCTCTGAAATCCCTCTGTTTCTGTAGGTGTCAAATTCTTAGTCAGAACCTTAGTTTTTTGTTTATTCAGTTTAAACCCCGCCACTCGACCAAACTCAGATATAAGTTCAAGAACTCTTTTTGTACTGGGTTCTGGCTCCTGCAGTGTCAAAACTAAGTCATCTGCAAAAGCTTTCAGTTTGTATTGTTTCACTCCGACCTCTATCCCTTGTACCCTCCGGTCCTCCCTTATCATGTTCAATAGCACCTCCAGGACTGAAATGAACAAAAGAGGGGATAGAGGGCACCCCTGTCGTGTCCCTTTTTCAATTTTGAATTCCTCCGACACCACATTATTCACTATTAGTTTAGCTTTCTGCTCAGAATAAATTGCTTGTATTCCATTTTCAAACCCCCGTCCCACTCCCATCCCTTCCAAATTTTTCTTCATAAACAACCAAGATATGTTGTCAAATGCTTTCTCCGCATCAATAAAGATTAACACCGCCCTTGTGTTCCTGTTAGTTTGCAAAAGCTCCAAAATATCAATGATGTTCCTGGTATTCTCATATAAATGTCTACCAGGGAGAAAGCCAGCTTGATCTTTATGAATTACTTCATTTAAGACCTTTTTAAGTCTGCTTGCCAGAATGTCAGCAAATATTTTGTAATCCACATTTAAGAGTGAGATGGGACGGTAGTTCTTAAGTTGGTTCTTTTCCGTTTCCACTTTCGGAATCAATGTGATGAAGGCTTCTTTCCACGACTCCGGTGTCTTCTTCCCCTCCATAATCTGGTTGCAAACCTCTAACAGAGGTTGTGTCAAATAGTCCTTCAAAGTCTTATAATATTTAGAGGTAAGTCCATCCGGGCCTGGAGATTTGCCTAGTTGCATATTCTGAATGGCTCCTTCGATTTCCTGTGGGGTTATTGTTGAGTTCAAGATTGATCTTTTATCTTGGGTTATCTTTGGTAGTCCATTTGTCTTTAAAAATTGGTCTATCTCAGGTTCTTTCTGAGGCCCTTGTGCGTAGAGTTCTTTAAAGTATCTGTGGAAGCACTTCCTAATTTCTTCTGGTTTCTGCACCATTTTTCCCTCAATCTCTAGATTTGTAACTGTATTTAGCTTCTGTCTTTTCTTCAACTGCCAAGCGAGCAGTTTTCCACACTTATTTGCTGATTCAAATGATCTTTGTTTCATCTGTTTGATTTTCCATTCAATCTCTTGATTTATCAGTTTAGAATATTGTGCTTGATGGAATTTGATTTCTCTCAGCACCTCCTTTGACTTTGGTTTGGTTCTCAGTTTTTTCTCTCCTTGATGTATCTTCTCCAATATTTTATCCTTCTTTCCATTCCAGAGCTTTTTCTTGATTGTGTTTTGTTGAATCAGAAACCCTCTCATAACGGCTTTACTTGCGTCCCAGATCGTTCTTTTTTCTACTGTAGTATTCAAATTTATCTCAAAGTAGTCCTTTAACGTTTTTTGGGCCTTTTTCACAATCTCTTGATCTCTTAGTAAGGCGTCATTCATTCTCCATCTGAAGGAACCGGGTTGAGTTAGTCTAAGTTCTACTTTCAAGGCGTTGTGGTCGGAGCATGTTCTTGGGCAGATTTCCACCTTTCTAGTCTTAGGTGCCAGCCCTCTAGACGTCCAGATTTGGTCGATCCGTGTCCAAGACAGGTGGACCTCAGAGAAGAAGGTTCCTTCTTTACCTAGGGGGTTCTTTGTCCTCCATATGTCGATCAAGTCCAGATTCTCAGTCAGTTCAAAAAAAGTTTTGGGCAGTCTGCCATCTGATGTTAAATTTTGACTTTGAGACTTATCCATATGTGTAGACACCACTCCATTCATGTCACCCATCATTATGATGTTGTTGTAGTCTATAAAGTCCAGCATGATCTCATGCAGCTTCTTGAAAAATTCTGATTTCCCATCGTTTGGCGCATATATTCCTACAATCAAAAATTTCTCTCCTTGTGCCTGAATTTCAATCGCCAAAATTCTTCCTTGTTCATCTTTAAATACAAATTTTGGTGCCAGGCTCTCCTTGGCATAGATCACCACGCCTCTTTTCTTGACCTTGTCTGATGAGATAAATTCTTGGCCTAGTCTTTTGTTGACTAGAACCTTCCTGTGGAGCCTGGTCACATGGGTTTCTTGTAAACAAATAATGTCCAATTGTTCTTTCTTGAGTATGTGAAATATTTTCCTTCTTTTTTCCGGGGAATTTCCGCCATTTATATTCCAACTAAATAGCTGCAGAGACATCCTGTACTATTTTGTTGCACCTAGAGTGGTGTTTCTTCCTTGTCCTGTAGTTCCGAGGGTATTGGGCCTTTTCCACCTCCAGGCGGTAACTCAGGTTGTGGTAGAGGCCAATGGGCTGCTGCTTCTTTTTGAAGATCTTCTCCGTGCTCGTGCAGGAACTTTTGTGAGTCCTCTGGTGTTCTTATCTTTACCTTCTTCTGCTTGTAGGTAAAAGATATTCCTTGCGGGAACTCCCACCTATAGCGAATTGTGTTAAGCCTCAACAGTCTTGCCAGTTCTGAATAGGTGGTTCTCAGGTCCAATAACTGTTTTGGTATATCTCTGTAAATTTGCA